AAAAAAAAGGGCAGAGTAAATAATATAACAAGCGTGTCATACCCACAACCCAATGGAGGTAACAAAATATCACAGGCTGGGTGCCATGGCTCACACTTGTAATCCCAGCACTTTGGGAGGCCAAGGTGGGTGGATCATTTGAACCCTGGGGTTTGAGACCAGCCTGGGCAACATGGTGAAACCCCATCTTTACTAAAAATACAAAAGTCAGCTGGGCCTGGTGGCGTGCACCTGTGGTCCCAGCTACTCAGGAGGCTGAGGTGGGAAGACCACCTGAGCCCAGGGAGTCTGAGGCTGCAGTGAGCCAAGATCACCCCACTGCATTCCATCCTAGGCAACAAAGCAAGACCCTACCTCAAAAAAATAAAGTAAAATAAACTAAAACATCATAAATACAGGTGAGTCTTGCCTTCCTCAGCCAACTACGACCCTGACTTTAGCATTTATCATTCCTTTGAGCTTCTATTTACTATGTATCTCCAAGTCCCTAAATAATACATAATGCCACCTCACATGCTTTAAAACTTCACGTAGATGGTCTCTGAGGCCCTACAGCCGCTGACTGGCAAGCTACCTTCCATCCCTGCTGTCTGTACCTGCAACGCCTGGAGCACCCCTTGAGTGCAGCTCTCACTCTTTCCTTCCGACTGCCCTGCAGCAGCCTCTGACCACCACGGCTCACTGAGCCATTCTGTTGTTGGAGGAAGGTGGTGTCTTGCTACCATGGACAGGACTCTCGTGCACCCCTTTGTACCTACTGCCTGCTAGGCTTGCGTGGGTTTTTCTCAAGTGTACACATAGGAGGGAAATTGCCAGTAGAAGGCATTTTCATTAATGTTTCCACCATCTCAGAAAACCAAGGTTTGCCCCTGTATACAGTATGTAAAATTATAACTTTCACACTCACTGCCTCATCAACAATCTTACCATAAAAACACAAGATGTTTTCTGTATTTTTATGTGACCTGTATTTCTAATTTGTTAACATCTTGAAGAAGTTGTCTTCTCTTCACACAAGGCACAGAACTTTGAAGGAAACTCTAGGTGGCCACTGTGCCCCTCAGAAACATGAATGGCGAGACATGTTTCTGTGAAGCTTTGACCGCATGGAGCAGCCTCAGCCACATCCACCGGAAGAGAGGAAGGGCCCAACAGAAGCTGTGCAGGACAGAGCACCTACCCTGAACGTGATGAAAATTTCCCTTTTTCCCACAGGCATCCTCACGGTCTGGCCATCCTCGACTCCTACAAGGGACGTTAGAAAGGGAGCAGTTAGGCAGGGCGCGGTGGCTCACGCCTGCAATCCCAGCACTTTGGGAGGCTGAGGCGGGTAGATCGTGATGTCAAGAGATCAAGACCATCCTGGCCAACATGGTGAAACCCCATTTCTACTGAAAATACAAAAACTAGCTGGGCGTGTCGGTGTGCGCCTGTAGTCCCAACTACTCGGGAGGCTGAGGGAAGAGAATCGCTTGAACCCAGGAGGTGGAGGCTGCAGTGAGCCGAGATTACTCCACTGCACTCCAGCCTGGCAACAGAGCGAGACACCATGTTAAAAAAAAGAAAAAAGAAAAAAAGAAAAAAAAAAGAAAGGGAGCAGTTATTGTGAGACCGCCCACAGCACTTTCCACCCAAGATCCACTTGTAACCCACAGCTTCTTCCCCACTCCTGTTTCTTATTAAGGAGGAACAATGCCATTATGTAAGAGGCACATGGGTAACCTTCCAGAGATGCAACACAAGACACCTGATGACTCAGCACTTGCCTCAGGCCTGGTCTATGTAGCACCTCAGGGAGTTCATGGTCTCACTGGGGTGATAGGTGTTAACCAAACAATAGCACTAATGCACAACTACAAACACAGAAATGTTCTTCAAAGCAAATGCTCACAACTCTAGAGAAAGGGACATCTAAAGAACAGGGAGGAGGGCTTGAGGCTTGCTAGGGAAGGGATACTCAAGCTGGGATCTCCAAGATGAACAAAGTTAACCCAAAAAAGAAAGCAGAAAGCGAGTTTCAGGCAAGGCAACAGTAGACGTGGAGTGGGGGGTGGATCTGTGGGGCTGATGTAGATAGGGTGGCAGTGGGGACAATGATGGCTTCGGTGACTAAGACAGAGGAGAGAGGAGAGGAGCCTGGGGGTTGGAAGCTGCTCCCTCACCAGGAAGAAGCAGAGCAGGCACATCAGGTCTCTTCTCCCCAATGTGACGTGCAAAGTGTAGATTGTAAGGATAACTGGCACAAATAGAAAGATTCAAAGAGACTCCAGTTCCTCCTCCAGCCTTGGGCTCCAGGGCCTCAACCACAACTTCTACCAAGAGCCCACTCACACAGAGTGCGGTGGCCTCAGTCCTTTCCGCCCTCTCCAAGCTCCTGGACATGGCGGGCCCAAACACCCACCTGCAGGCACAGGGATCATCACTCGCTTTTTCTGCTTGGCTTGTCCTACTCCCCTGCAGACCACACAGGGCGTTATGATGATGGAGCCGCGGCCACCACATCTCCTACACGTGGAACGCATCACAAAAGGGCCTGTGTTGATGGTTTCCTGATAAAAACAAGAAAAATGGTAACCTAACTACGCAGGTAAACCGATGGGTGGTTCTGGGACCACAATGTGCATAAGAAAAATGTCCCTTTAAGGCTTGTTTTTTATGTGCATGTGCACTCAAACACACTGCCTAGGAACCCAGGTGCAGGGCCTCAGAGTCTATTCATCTGATTTTCTAGAACACACAAACTTCTGCACTCCAGATCATCAACTTGACCATACGACAATGAAAAATGCGATACCGCCTCTTACAGAAGTACCTGAAGACTCCTGGGAGCTGAGCAGTACATTTAAAAAAGATTATTCCCCCTTCAATTACAAAAGCAATTGTTAGAAAAATAAGGAAGAAAGTGACAACGGGATGCAATCGCCCGCCCCACCCCCAGAGCTGCTGTGCTCTGGTTGCTGAGCCTGCGATGCCAGGGAAGGAGGAGCACAGGCTCGTCTCCTCAGGGTCACGGGGAAAGACAGACAGGCTGAGTTCACCAACTCCCTCCACTCCTAGCATAAGTTCTCTGGGAGCAGTGCCACAACCAGCTCTTCTCACGGTCAGTGGCGCAAGCCGTGGGAGGTGGAGTCTTGGGCAGACCCTTACCATGCCGGAGCCACCGCAGTAGTGGCAATGCTGCACCTTGGTGCCAGGCTCGTTCCCCTTGCCATCGCAGCGCTCACAGGTGTCCATGATGTTCACGGTGAACTCCTTGTTGACCCCCTTTGCAGCTTGATTGAATGTCAACTCCATGATGTACTAAAGAAACCAAGGGACAGCCTGTCAACTTTTGTTTGCAACGACCAAAACTGATGCTTGGCTCTAAAGGGAAAGGAGGGCACTGGCCCACATTTTCAGTCACTCTTTCACCACTGTACTTACTTGCACTCTGCCAGGTAAGCATAGGTAGGACTCACTGAACCAATTCTGTCCTAGTCTTTGGGATTTTTAAGAGATAATGTGACTTAAATGAAAACGTACTTTCAATAAACTGAAAATGTTCACAGATAAATACTCATACATGGCACTTAAAAAGAGCCTGAATGATCCACAATCATAACTTAGATCATAAATATATCCCCTCTCTCTTCCACTCTGACAGTGTTTTATACAGACATGAGAGAGGATCAGCAGTGCCTTCCCAGCAGGCAGAGCTCTCCTGGAACACTGTACAGATGAGAGACAACACTCGCACCCTCAGCGTGGGCTCTGAAAGCCTTCGGTGCTGCCTGACTCTGCAGCTGTGAAGAATACCATCAGAATGGATGTACTCATTAGTACCTATGCGATTTTTCAAATACTGAAATTATTTTCTACTAAAATGGCTGCCTCCAGATCACTCCATACTTAGTCTAAAATCTGATTAATTCTTCAAAGCAAGGAACTTACTTCCTGAGGCTGATCAAACACAGTCTGGAAATCTCCAAACGAAGACGATGAGAACTCCCCGAAGATCTTCCTGAACAGCTCCTCGGGGTCCACAGTGGGGCCTCCCTTCCAGTAGCTGTGCTGGGAGCCGCTGGCCCCAGAATCGAAGCCCGCAGAGCCGTAGGCATCGTACTGCTTCCTCTTCACCTCATCACTCAAAACCTACAGTGAAAGGCAGAGCCACTGGGCATCCTGGGTCTACCAAGGCCCAGAAATACAGACAAGAGTTCACAGCAAATAAGGCAGCCATAACATTTACTAAGTGGCCCTGTGTGCAAACACATCCTATGAGGTTGGGGTGGGCCTGCGACTTTAGCACCTAGAATAGGGACGAGATGACCAAACTGAATGCTAAGTATAGGGCGTGAAGTGCTTCCAAAAGTCTCACGAACTCTCCCAGGGGTCGTGCGTGCTGCGGAAATGTTTGTGTTGATCGTCGCTCGACCTCACAGGCGCCCTGGACTCTTCACAGATTCACACTTCACCTCTCTCCTCAGGAGACATTACCTTGTAGAGAATTTATGCTTCCTACCCTTACCTGCATCGACAGGTTTTCTGGAAGCCAGAACAACCGGAGTAACAAGTAGAAGTAACACAACAATAGCAGTGGTGCAATCCTAGCTCACTGCAGCCTCAACCTCCCAGGTTGAAGCAATCCTCCCGCCTCAGCCTCCCGAGTAGCTGGGTCTACAGGCGCACACCACAATGCCTGGCAAATTTTTTAATTCTTGGAGAGACAGGGTCTTGCTATGTTGCCCAGGCTGCTTTAAACTCCTGGTCTCAAGCAATCCTCCCACTTCGACCTCCCAAAATGCTGGGATTACAGGCATGAGTCACTGGGCCTGGCTCACAAAACTGTTAATAAGGACTACCTCAAAAAGGGGGATTAGGGAGGGGCAAAAAAAAATGTAGTATTCACTTTGTTTCTTTTTTTTTTCTTTGAGACAGAGTCTTGCTCTGTCACTAGGCTGGAGTGCAGCAGCGCAATCTTGGCTCACTGCAACCTCTGCCTCCCGGGTTCAAGTGATGCTCCTGCCTCAGCCTCCCGAGTAGCTGGGACTAAAGGCACACGCCACCACGTCCAGCTAATTTTTTTGTATTTTTAGTAGAGACAGGGTTTCACCATGTTTGCCAGGATAGTCTCGATCTCTTAGCCTCGTGATTCGCCCGCCTCAGCCTCCCAAACTGCTGGGATTACAGGCATGAGCCACCATGCCTGGCCCTCACCTTGTATCTTTTTTTATGTGTTTGTCTTACTTTTTTTCTTTAATTAAAAAGACACTGCCCTAGGCTGAGTATGGTGGCTCACACCTGTAATCCCAGGACTTTGGGAGGCCAAGGCAGGTGGACTGCTTGAGTTCATGAGTTCAAGACCAGCCTGGGCAACATGGTGAAACCCATTACACAAAAAAACACAAAAACATTAGCCAAGAATGGTGGTGCATGCCTACAGTTCCAGCTACTTGGGAGACTGAGGTTGGAAAATTGCTTGAGCACAGAGGTTGAGGTTGAGGCTGCAGTGAGCCGTGACTGCACCACTGCACTCCAGCCTGGGCAACAAAGTGAGACCCTGTCTCAAAAAAAAAAAAAAAAAAGCCACGGTCCTTAAGGCCAAACAGAATAGAGTATACGTCCTCCAAAGGAAAAGACACTTCCACCTAGAATGGAGGGGGACTAAGAAAACAGGTGGAGGTCAGCTTGGTGCCTAGGGTAATTTTTAGGGCACCCAGTTAAGATGCAAAGGAAGAAGGTTGGCAGAAGAAGAGACAGGTAGGAGTCCATGACTTCCTGGTGGCTTTTATCTCCTGGTTCCAGCCCTTCCCGAGGAATTGCTGCTGTTAGGTTCTGAGGCTCGGTCCTTTTAATAACATCCCCCTTGGAGACGGAAGTCAGCAAAATGGTGGATTAGGACTCTCCAAAACTCATCC